CTCCCCCCCTTTGAAATTAACTATATTAATAGTAATTTCTCCCGGAAATACTATATTTCGGATTGCTGTGAATTTCTCGGTGCTGGTGCTACGCCTATGTGATTTATTGCTACGTCCTCCCCCCCTTTGAAATTAACTATATTAATAGTAATTTCTCCCGGAAATACTATATTTCGGATTGCTGTGAATTTCTCGGTGCTGGTGCTACGCCTATGTGATTTATTGCTACGTCCTCCCCCCCTTTGAAATTAACTATATTAATAGTAATTTCTCCCGGAAATGGTATATTTCGGATTGCTGTGAATTTCCCGGTGCTGGTACTACGCCTATGTGATTTATTGCTACGTCGATGCAAATTCCAGAAAGACACAAAATGATCTGTTTGAATGTGAGTCAGATAAGAAAAACCGCGGAGATATAAGGTTCGTGGTAGGTAGTAGTCACGTGACCGTCGAATCGTGTCACATGGCTTCCGAATTGCCTTCGAATCGCGTCGCATGGCCTTCGAATTGCCTTCGAATCGTGGCAAGTAATTAGAAATAAAAACGTTAAGTAATTAATGGGTGCACCTTCTACAGGAATTTCTCCCTAATATGCGCTCAGATGGCGCACAAAAATGGACAATTTCGGAACGGGAGGTACGATTATTCGAGCCTCGCGGCTCGTATTTATGGTTGTCCCGTTATATAGTCCCGTTTTTCTTTATTTGGGAAATAAACAAGCTTCACGGTTATCCGGGAGAGAACAAGCCGTGATTCACGGGACACAGTTTATTGAGCGGGCCGATCATTTATCGTCGCGGCAGTAAGTTGCGCGAAAAATGCCCCACCCTGTTGACTTCGGTGCAAGAAAGTCGGCTCTTCAATCGTTGATATTTTATACTAATCTCTCTCTCTCTCTCTCTCTCTCTCTCTCTCTCTCTCTTCGAACATTGCGCGTCGATTCCGCGGCGTTAAGTCTTCGTGGTCTCCGAAGCGATTTGCGTGCAGTAATTTCTCCGTAATTCGCGCTCCGATTGCGCATAAAAATGGACAATTTAGAAAGAGGAGACACGATTAATAGTGCCACACGACTCGTTTTTATAGTCACCGACTGCGAACAACTACAAAAACGAGCCGCGAGGCTCGAACAATCGTATCTCCTCTCCCCAAATTGTCCATTCTCGCGCGCAATCCGAGCGCGAATCCGGGAGAAATTACTGTACGTACTTCGTACGCCGACTGCGATTGCCTCGAAGTTCTCAACCTTCGTCGTCAGCGTCGAGTCGAAGCACCGTCGGGTTAACCGAGGCGATTTTCTGCGCAGGCAAGAAGGTGGCAGGCGAATACACCGTGAAGGAACCGGGCGGCAACGTGAGGGTGGTGAAGTACCACGCGGATCCCCACGGCGGGTTCTTCGCGTACGTTCACAATTCCAACGGGAACAACCACGAAGGCGGCACCTACGGCGGTCACGGACACGGGCACGGGCACTATTGAAACGGCGACCGGGATCATCGTCGGCGAAGGAAACCAAGGACTCGTCGATCTACAAAGCAGCTTGTTACTCGAGGATTATCTTCGCTCCGATTATCGAATATTTGATGGCGCGTACCAAAGAGACTCTGAAGAAGCGCCCAGCTAGCTCTAGGTTCTTGTTAGCCATGGATCATGTTTGTTGTTATCGTTGTTAACTCTTGAATACAGTATCGAGGTTACAGTCGAGGTTATCCCTGAACGCTGGGGCTTTTACGAGCCAAGGAATTTCCAGATGGAACTGAACACCCGAATCTACAGGTACGCCCCGGCTGCCTGTGAAAATATGAAAGCCGTAACAATCACGGTATCGCCGCAATAAAGTTATCTCCGCCGGCGAAATACGGGGTCCGTGATATTTTTATCGGTCACCCTCGCGAGGGTGGGTTCCCGGGGAACGGGGGTTCCCGTAATGTCCTCGTAAAACGCCTAATGCCTCGTTGCATCCGTAATTCCAACGGGTCGAAAGACCCGTCATTGTTCCCGGGATCTTTAACATTCCCAATTATTGCCGGCGGCCTTTTGTTCCCGCCGCGTTCCAAGGCGCGCCGTTTCGTTCGACACGATATTGTTCGACTCTATTCGCTGCTCGACAGTGAACCCTGCCGAACGGTCGCGCAACGCACGCAGCTTTTATCGCAGCTTTCCGCGGAAACCTTATAGTCTCGAGGGTCGCGCGCTTTCCTCGCGACGACGCCGCGGTACCGACGCACTCGCGAATTTTTTACTGCGCTCCTACCGATTCGGCTTAAACGAATTTTTTATCGCGAATGAAACACGTGATAAACTTATTTATACCGGAGTCATTCCGCGCGCGTATTTATTCGCCGGGAAATAAAACCGCGTCGCATTTTCTAGCCGCCGCGCCGCGGCGGCGCGTCGTCGCCCGACTTTTCGCCGGTAACGGGATCCGAAAATTAGCTCGTCGAGCTCTCGCTTCGCTTTAGCCCATTAACGCTGGCTGCGCCCGAAGAAGCGTAATCGTGATTTCCGCGAACAATCTGCCTGAGAGAAGCTCGGAGGAATTTTTTATCCGTCGATTGTTTACGCTGGCGAGCCACTTTTCCGAAACGATAATCGAATCTTCGTCCGGCAGACAATGTTGCCGCGGTATCGTGAACATTAATTGTACCGGAAGTACGAAAGTATCGTACATTTAATCGGTTAACTGTGTTCGACGAGTATACTCGTCGCGGAGGAGCGGCAGTGTTTTGTGTCACGACGAGTATACTCGTCGCGCGTGAAAAGTACACTCGTCATGGAGAAGCGGCAGTATTTTATGTCGCGACGAATATACTCGTCACGGAGAAGCGGCAGTATTTTATGTCGCGACGAGTATACTCGTCACGGAGAAGCGGCAGTATTTTACGTCGCAACGAGTATATTCGTCGCGTGTGAAAAATAGCGACCTCCCTTCAAAATAGGGAGTTCGCTTAACCGGTTAACTGTGTTCTACGAGTATACTCGTCACGGAGAATCAGCAGTATTTTTTGTCGCGACGAGTTTACTCGTCGCGTGTAAAAAGTACACTCGTCATGGAGAAGCTGCAGTATTTTGTGTCACGACGAATATACTCGTCATGGAGAAGCGGCAGTATTTTATGTCGCGACGAGTATACTCGTCGCGCGTGAAAAGCAGCGCGATCATTGGCTATTTAAATTGCGATTTTAGTGAAATGAGAAACATATTGTCAAATTTCAAGATGTGTTGAATAATTTTAGATCTGCGGCATTGTTTACGAGTTATTAACGAAAAACACTGACCGACATCGTGACCAACAATTTCGAACAGCAAATGCATCCTCAAGTAAATGGATCTTAAACAAACATATCCTGCATGTTCTTTAACGCGATTATTTGTTATTGAATTAGCTTCGCGAATCGAGGCGTGAATTTTCTTAAAATTGTCACTGTCACGTGGTACGAAAAAAGAAATCGGAAAGTTCACGCTCCGTGTCTTGTTCGTTGATTCGAACGCGACACGGTGCCCCCCTCGGGGTGTGGGATGGGGCGTCGGTTTACTGGAGCAAATATCACAGTAACCACTTGTTCGACGTCTGCCACCCAAATCTTTCCTTTTAGAGCACACATCGCGGTCCCTTTTTGCACCTTTCCTGATTATATGAAGTTTCCTGTTCAATATAATTTCAGAAATTCATTGAAAAACTCTTGTTTCATCCTGAAGAAAAATCTCCTACGAATTAATCGACTAAAATCTTTCGATATTGCAAATGTGCGACAGTGCTTTCTTCTGTTTTTTTTACTGTGCTGTAGAGTTTTGTGGAGATAATTACTCAATAATAAAGCAATAATTAATCGATAATTATAATAAGCAATACTGAACAAATTAGCGATGTCTTCAGAGCCAACGGAGCGCTGAAGGCTAAATTACTCTTCTCTCACAAGAGTTTTTAGGGCTCAATTTTGTCACTGGACGCGTTAAAACGATCGATGAACCGCCCAAATTAAGCTGATTGTTACCTGAACAATCGAGAAACGTGTACCGAGGGCCGGCAACGACGCGCGATCGCTGTTTCAAGAGCATGCCGGACGCGAGACCATAAAAACCCGCAGATACCTAATGCGGGACAATTTTCCGCGGAGCGATCGTAAAAGAATTCCAGCGGATAACTGGGGTCGCGGTGATTCGCAGGGAATTCGAGCACCTCCTCCAGCCTCTGCGCGCCCCCCGCGGGGGAAAAATAGGTCCACCGAGATGGTGGTCGGCGGCTGAATTTAGGGAATCGATTGAACGTCTCTGCGAAGTACTGCCTCCGGTTCCCATTAACCCAGAAAAATGAAGCCTTAATGACCACGGGCTGGTTGGTCCGTCCTTTTCTATTAATACATTTAACGAGCCCCCGGCAGAGAGGAGGTCTGCCGCCGCGGCCCGCCTTGTTGTAATGCGAGAATGCACGTGATTCGTGTTGCCGCTGCATAATCTCGCGAGTTACCGTTCGTCCGGTTCCGTTTGGACACCGAAACGATACAATTACTTCTAGAGATAAGGGGCCGGGCTCACGCGGGATAAATAAATGGACGGGTTGCGTGCATATTGGGTTAACTTAACGAGACGGATGACCGTTCTAAGCTGGGCCCTACGCGTTCGGTCACGTAGTCGGGACACGAGGGTCACGGCGACGATCTTTGGCCCCCGCTGAAATTGATTTTCATTTACAACGACCCGGGGCTCCTTCGGATCTCTCATCTCCGAGATCTCGAGGAGCTGATTATTGGCGAGCTGTGGACTTTAATCCCTTCGTTCTCCTGGCCTTGTAAGCGTAGATTGCGAACGTTGATCGACACGCGAACAGGGTCCATTCGACCTCCGCGAGAAGTTTACCGTGTGATAAATGAATAAAAATCAATCTCTTCCGAAATGTAACTTCGTGTCTCTTTGGTACACGATGTTACGTATTCAAAGTCACAGCGTTTAGGAATAATAACCTCGATCGGGAACGGGGCCGCGCAGTGAAACAAAAGGGAACACGTTATAGCGTACGATACTGTATTCAAGAGTTAACAACGATAACAACAAACATAATCCATGGCTAACAAGAACCTAGAGCTAGCTGGGCGCTTCTTCAGAGTCTCTTTGGTACGCGCCGTCAAATATTCGATAATCGGAGCGAAGATAATCCTCGAGTAACAAGCTGCTTTGTAGATCGACGAGTCCTTGGTTTCCTTTGCCGACGATGATCCCGGCCGCCGTTTCAATAGTGCCCGTGCCCGTGTCCGTGGCCGCCGTAGGTGCCGCCCTCGTGGTTGTTCCCGTTGGAATTGTGAACGTACGCGAAGAACCCGCCGTGGGGATCCGCGTGGTACTTCACCACCCTCACGTTGCCGCCCGGTTCCTTCACGGTGTATTCGCCTGCCACCTTCTTGCCTGCGCAGAAAATCGCCTCGGTTAACCCGACGGTGCTTCGACTCGACGCTGACGACGAAGGTTGAGAACTTCGAGGCAATCGCAGTCGGCGTACGAAGTACGTACAGTAATTTCTCCCGGATTCGCGCTCGGATTGCGCGCGAGAATGGACAATTTGGGGAGAGGAGATACGATTGTTCGAGCCTCGCGGCTCGTTTTTATAGTTGTCCGCAGTCGGTGACTATAAAAACGAGACGCCAGGCTCGAGTAATCGTGTCTCCTCTTTCTAAATTGTCCATTTTCGTGCGCAATCAGAGCGCGAATTAGGCAGAGATTACTGTGTTCGTGCAGCTTTTAAAACGGAATAGCTTTTTTATAATTGGACCGAGCAATCTAAATTTGTTGGAATGATGGAGAGATCAGTTGACTAGGCAACGGAAGAATTGTTTTCATAAATTGCAATTGTTCGGCATGGTAAAAGAATTAGAAGATGAGGTTTTTCCAATTTTTCTATCCTAGCCTATAATGAAAATTTCAAAAAAATAATTAATTTTTATAGATCTCGGTAACTTATATACATGCTGAAATTTTCATTGAAACCGGTTGATCTTATATGACCTAATCTCGCGATATTCTTGAATTCGACAATTACCTTCACATAAGCCTCGATAGCAAATAAATTTACAAACCGAGATTTATAGCAATTTTGCATCCTACTACCGCACGATTCCAATGATTTTATATGACATGATTTCGCGATGTTCGCGTATTCAAAGAACATTTGCGTTGCCAAAGAGTTTGTTTTTCCCTATTCTATTAAATATACATATAACACCCTAATGATACCCTAATAAAACTATGCTAAAATTTAGATCTTCGTTAATAATCTGTAGTCTCGAGTAACAATAAAATAACATCAACCATAATCATAAAAAGCAACGAAGAGAAAAATTCATATAAATCCTCAATCGAGATTAAAATCTATACTCCCTTCAAAACAAGCTCTTTTCTGTGACGAATGAAGTTCGCCCCCGCTAAATCAGTATCATACAACATCGCCTATTCCATTTTCTCCCGAAAACAAAACTAAAATATAAAACATCTGCTATTTAACTGTAACCGAATTCGGCCGGAAAATGAATGCCCGCATACTTCGCGGCGACACCCGGTATACGGGGGTGCACGATCTTGCCAGCAAGAGAGAAATATAATAAATCGACCTGTTGAGCGGAATTTATTTGCATCTATAATTTACTTTCCACCGCGGCGGCGATCCTCGGGGTCGGGCGATAGCCGAGCCACCGTTATTACAGAAAATAAGAAACCCGGTCGGAAGATTTACGTCGCGGACCCGCACGAATAAGTTTCGCTACCGACTTCGTCGACTCACCGTCCCTGTGCTCCTTCTGTCCATGATGGTCGCCGGTGTGATGGTCGTCGACGCCGTACGAGAACTCGTACTTCGGATGAGCGACGTAGTCGACGTGATGATGGCCGTGCTTGTCGTGCGACGAGACTTCGTGGTGAGGCCCCTCGACGGGCCCGTGGAAATGGGCGAAACTGTGCGCGTGGCCGGCCGATCCGCTCTCGACCAGGCCGAGAACCAGCGCGCCGAGGATCAAAGCGACCTGTCGAGCGAAACAGCAATTAATTAACGAAAAATCTCACCGAACAAGCGAGTTACAGCAATGTCTCCCTTACTGACGCTCGGATTGTCTCCACTAAATTGGCATATCATTTGGGAAGAGGAGATACGATTGTTCGAGCCATGCGGTGTATTTTTATAGTTACAAATTGCCCACAATTATAACTATATTGTAATCGTATCTCCTCTTCACAAATTGTCCAATTTAGTGGAGACAATCTGAGCGTCAGTAAGGGAGACATTACTGTAATTAACGCGATCGCCGCGTTCTCGTCTAACAATAAATATTTATTATATATATATATATATATTATTATATATTATTATATATATACTATATATAATAATACTATATACTATATATATATACTATATATAATAATACTATATACTATATATATATATTATATATAATAATACTATATATATATATTATATTTGCCCGGAAAATCCAGGAATATCGCGAGATTAATCGGCGTAAGTATCGGCGAGCCGATTCGGCGGCGCGAACTCGAACGAAAAAATTATGCGACCGACGCCTATGTCTCGTACCTTGATTACCATATTGCCGGCGTTCGCGAGATAGCAAATGGAGAATGATACCTCCGCAGACCGCCGACCGTCGTTTATATACCGTCGATCCCGCCGGTTTTTGGCAGGCCGGGTTTCGCCGCGATATTCTTATTTAACCGTCGCCGATGCAACAACGTACGTCGAACGTTACACAGTCGTCGAAAAAAGCGGCGCGCGCGTGCCGATCGGATCTCGCCGGTGCCGAGAAACGTCGCGTTTCTTTGACAACGTTTAACATAACCGTTCACGCGGATGGACCGTTCGCGCGGCGTTTCACCGAAACGGCCGTCGATTCCGCTCTATTGATCTCGTCACGGAAGAAGTTTTTTTTTCCGCGCGGGACCGCTGTTTGTTGCGCGCGCGCGAGCGCGAAAAAAAAGCAGCGATCCTACGAAACGTCACGGTGATGAACCGACGGTAAATCAAGCACAAAGGCAACCGTGTTTTGGTCACCGGTTTTGATCACCCGACAAACATTCGTTTAATTCCGAGTTAAATAAATGTCAAGCCGCGGCACCGACAAACCCATTGTGCGGAGGATCCGCGATGCCGGGGTATTACAGGTTGTTGTTTTGTACCGGGATTACGATAGTTTAATACCAATCGTTGTATGTACGTGCACGATACTTTTGAACGAACAAATTTCACGTAGCGACGAGTTTTCATTGTTCGCCGCGCGAACTCGTCTATTATTGGACGTTCTGCGGCCGCGCCCTTGATAAGGGTAGCCAAATAGGTTTATACTTAATTTATACTTATTAGTATATTATAGTAGATTATTTATACTCATTAGTATTGTATAGTATATTATTTGTACTTATTAGTATAGTATAGTAGTATACTTGTAGAGCATAGTAATATTAGTATAGTATATTAGTACACTTATAGTAGTATAGTAGTATTAGTAAACTATATTAGTATACTTATACTAGTATAGTAGTATTAATATACTATATTAGTATACTTATACTAGTATAGTAGTATTAACATACTATATTAGAATATATATAGTAGTATAGTAGTATCAATATAGTATATTAGTATACTTATAGTAATATACCAGTATTAGTAAACTAAAATAGTATACTTATAGTAGCATGATAGTATTAGTAAACTATATTAGTATACTTATACTAGTATGGTAGTATTAGTAAACTATATTAGCATACTTATAGTAGTATGGTAGTATTAATAAACTATATTAATTATTAGTAAACTACTTATAATAGCATTAGTATATTTGTAGTAGTATAGTAGTATTAGTATATTTACAGTAGTATAGTAGTATTAGTATACTTATAGTAGTACAGTATTATCTGTATAGTTGTATACTTATCAGTATATACTACAGTACATTACATATTATATTATTAGTACTATAGAGTACATTATTTATACTTATTACTATATATACTTAAAAATCCCTACTTATGCTTAGTCACACTTATTTCTTCGCCCTGTCTACTCGCGTCGGAGAAACGCTCGAACAACATTTAAAAATTAAAAGTTCTCTGACATTGTTTCACGGGAATCTCTGTACGAACCGACTTTCGCGTTCCCAGCAGTTGGCATTTTTCCGCGGACCGTGTCTCATCGTGGCCGGAAAACTCGGCCCGTTCTCCGCCGCCGTGAAATAAACATCAGAGATTGCGTAGCCCGCCACATATTTGCGATCCACATTCCCGAATCGGGTTCCGTGACATCGGAGGGTGGAAGGGAAGGGGGAGGGGGGAGGTGGAGCACGGTTTTCAAGGAACCTTTTAAGGATTTCGAACTTTCATGAGGGCTTTCGAAGTACTTATGCTTTCCGGCCGACCATCCCCCGAGCGAACCCCGCGCGCTGCCAACCAACCCCCATCCCCCTCCCCCCGCGAAGTAGCTGGATCGCGGCAGCGACGACGTTTCGCCTAGCGGAACTTTTAAGTCAACGTTTAATCAGGTCCGAAATTGTCAAAGTGGGACAGAAGTTTACATCTCGCGGAACTTTTTACTTATTCGACAGGCGAGATTAAAAGTTTCCCCCGGGGCATCGTAATTAATACAGGTATCCAGGCTAACCGCCTTTGTTTTATCTGGGAAGACGTTCCCGGTTGGTCAAACGGTCGCTCATTCGATTACCGTCGCGAACATCTCGCTATCTTGTTTGCCCTTTTACTCTTCGAAATTTCTTTCGGTGACGAACCGGTGAGCGAATTTTAGGAAGCGGAAGCTGAATGCTTAATGTATCTCTTCTTTTAATTTTCTTGTAATTTTCTTTTTAATTTTCTTACGGTTTTATACTTCGTTGATTCGCCCCTGCATTTCGAGCTGACTTTTTAAGCGGATTACAAACAATGCCCTGTTAATCGTACGAACATTTTCAAGCAGTAAACTCCAGATGTTTATGTAAGATAAATATTGCTTGCATCGACTGTACAAAACAAGAGCGAGAGAAGAGTGTACTTCTACTTTCGGTGGTCCCAATACACTGAAAATAGTGTGACAAGATTCTTGAAATTTTTCATTAATTTTGAAATATCTTCTCGCGACAAAAAGACTGTGAATGAATTTTAGGAAACAGAAACTGAATGTTAATGTGCCTCTTCTTTTAATTTTTCTCTAATTTTCTTCTAATTTTCTTTTTAATTTTCCTCTAATTTTCTTCTAATTTTCTTTTCAATTTTTCTCTAATTTTCTTCTAAGTTTCTTTTTAATTTTTCTCTAATTTTCTTTTTAATTTTTCTCTAATTTTCTTTTAATTTTCTTACAATTTTGTACTTCGTTGATTCGCCCCTGCATTTCGAGCTGACTTTTTAAGCGAATTACAAACAATTCCCTGTTAATCGTACGAACATATTCAACCAGTAAACTCCAGACGTCCATGCAAAATAAATATTGCCTGCATCGACTGTACAAAACAAGAGCGAGAGAAGAATGCGCTTCTTCTTTCGATAGTCTCTCAATACACCGAAAATAACGTAACAAGTTTCTTAAAACTTTGTCTTCCTCTTGAAATTTCTTCTCGTGACAAATAGACCGTGAACGAATTTTAGGAAGCAGAAGCTGATTGTTATATCGTACCTCTTCTAATTTGCTTTTAATTTCCTTTTTAACTTTCTTACAGTCCTCGACTTCGTTGATTCCACCCTGCATTCCAAGCTGACTTTCTAAGCGAGCTACAATCGATGTCCTGCTGATCGTGTGCACATTTTTCAAGGAGTAGACCGCGGATGTTCATGCAAAATGAATATACAGCCTGCACGAATCGTACGAAACAATGGCGAAAGAAGAATGTACCTCTTCTTCTCAATGCACTGAAAATAGCGTAACAGGATTATTACATTCTTCCGATTATCTTCGCTGTTCTCTATGTCGCTCGCACGTTTTTCCCATAAATCCGATAAAAGTACCACAATCTTGCATGATCGTATTATTTATGCGACATAATAATAGATATGCTGAATCGAGAAATTGTCCCAGCGTAATCCCGGAAACCACGGTTCCTGGTTACAGTAATGTCTCCCTAATTGACGCTCAGATTGTCCACAGAAATGGACAATTTGGGAAACGGAGAGATACGATTATTCGAGCCTTGCGGCTCGTTTTTATAGTTATGTTATATTATATTATATATATTATAATATATTATACTATAATATATTATATTATAGTATATATATTATATTATAATATTAGGTTATATTAATTACTATACTATACTATACTCATATTATATTAATTATAATATAATATTTATTGTTCGACGAGAACGCGGCGATCGCGGGAACGTCGCGTCGACGGAACGCAACGGAATTAGTAATGTCTCCCTTACTGACGCTCAGATTGTGTCCACTAAATTGGACAATTTTGGAGAAGGAGATACGATTATTCGAGCCTTGCGGCTCGTTTTTATAATTGTGGACAATCGGTAACTATAAAAAACGAGTCGCAAGGTTCGAATAATGGTATCTCCTCTTTCCGAATTGCCTCGCGGCTCGTTTTTATATAGTTATGTCAAGGTTATATTATAATTATAATATTAGGTTATATTAATTACTATACTATACTATACTCATATTATATTAATTATAATATAATATTTACTGTTCGACGAGAACGCGGCGATCGCGGGAACGTCGCGTCGACGGAACGCAACGGAATTAGTAATGTCTCCCTTACTGACGCTCAGTTTGTCTCCACTAAATTGGACAGTTTGGGAGGAGGAGACACGATTATTCGAGCCTTGCGGCTCGTTTTTATAATTGTGGACAATTTATAACTATAAAAATAAACCACAAGGCTCGAATAATGGTATCTCCTCTTCCCAAATTGTCCATTTTTCTGGACAATCTGAGCGTCAATTAGGGAGACATTACTGTGCATCGCGACGAAACAGAAATAGAAACGCGGGACAGCATCCTCCGAACAGCGGCGAACGAAAGTTGTGCAAACCTAACAGAACACGCCGCGTAGAGTTTCGTTAATTGAAAGTGCTTGAGAACGCAGCAAAACATTTAATTTGACTGCGTTGACACATTTACATACGCCCGTAATAACCGGCGACGCTTTCGCCAGAAGTTATGTGGAACGTTCAATGAGCGACAGAGACAATGGTGTCCCGGCGTTCCTTGCGGTGCATTTAGCCCGACGAGTGCGCGCGACGCAGAACAGAATTCGAGTGCACTGGTTCGATCAAAGGTAGAAACGTCGCGCGGAATTGAAGTAGTCGAAAAGGTGGCGGCGCCCATGCGTGAAGAATTTCGCTCGCGTTCGTCGTCGCCGCGAAATTCTAATTGGCTTAATTCTCGTCGAGAGGGTGCGGTGACGTTGTTGAAATAACGAGGGACCGTACGACATTCTTAACCCTTCTATGGTGATTCGGATCTGCAGGGTAGATATACAGGGTGTCCCAAAAATGTCTCGCAATCCGAAATGGGAGATGCCTGAGGTTATTTCAAGTAACTGTTTCCTTTGCGAAAATGCGATCCGCGACTTCGTTTGCGAGTTATTGACGAATAAATACTGACCAATGAGAGGCGAGCTCGGCTGGCGCGCGGCAGTCCAGCCAACGAGCGCACGGT